GTCCTCCAATGTCTTTAACCATTGACTTCTGCCTCTGATTTAAGGTCTTTACTAGAAGCACTTTCTCTCTTAGCAAAGAGGCCAACGATGTTTCAGCTATACCTTATATCCACTTGAATGATTTATATTTCCTTTTCTGGTGATAGTGTCCTGGCTTTCATGACACGTTGGTACAATACCTCTTTGAAGATATACTTTGACAAACGATTCTTTGTCGTAGTGATATTGATAAATACAATACATATATATAGATGCATATGGTTGTCATTTGCAGGTTTTGATGAGTTTGGATAAAGTGAAATACCTGATAAGTAAACAATTTTGGCGAGTCCCTTGAAATGTTACTTATCAGGTTTCTACTGTATATCCTCATTTAAAAAGTAATCCACAGAATCATGACAGTATTGTGTTGACGTAGACTTTCAATAGCTGCCGCTACCTCCAATTTAAAATGTCTGCACTGAATTCACCACATCGTTTCCATGGACGATACATGATCACTACTTTAGTTATCCATCACAGACGTTGATACATTAGGTCTTTCAGACGATTCCTGTTTACTCAGTATTCGGGTAAGTGCTGTTAATTGACTGCTTCTTGTTAAAGCTGAGCCATATCAGACTATGTTAGAGCAATACAACCCCATAACTCGTTTAGTGTCGTTTACAAATCACTATATTTGACATAAAGCCAAGGCACATATTAAAGATGCTATATCTATTTCAGAATCTCATCATGTAGAACAACGGCAAAATTGGTGTAATTACACATTTATTTGTTAAAACATGAACTAAACTAATCATACCCTTCGGATGCCACTATCCTGGATCTTCAAACGTTCAACACAGTGACAACGACAATTGAAACATAAAAACCGGCGATTAGCAGATGTTTTTGAGTTACACACGTGTGTGAAGATCTCATGTTTCTGCCAATCTTTTCAAACTGCTACCTTTGAAGACATGTTTCTAATAATGGGTTCATCAAGACATGGCACGCTAATTGGCCCTCCCGTGAAGATTCACGAATCCCTTGTCATCCGGCCATTTCACAGTTCCGTGTTGAAATACACTGACGTTAACTCAAGAGGAGTCGTTCGATCAAACAAGACCCAAAATTGACGTGCATTTGATAATGTTGTGTTATAAAAGGTTTCTCAGTGATCTAGTCCTCATACAGCAGCGTCCAGGGGCCCGTTTCACAAAGCGATCGTAGCGCTACGACTGTCGTAAGTCTATGATAAAGTATGGGAGTTACGATCACCTTATTGCTACGATCGCTTTGTGAAACGGGGCCCTGGTGTGTCATTTATAAACACTATTGAGCTTAAGAAATTACGTTTTCACAGGTAGCCATGGCATTTTTAGTTTTGTTTTCTAGCGGAAAGGAAATGCTTGTTAGGAACAACGACAGAATACATTGCATCATGCCTCATTGCACAAATGCTTCTCTTAACAGCACGATTCCCAGATTCAGTCTGATTAAAATATTGTACCTTTCCTAGCTACGCTCCCTATTAAACGATGTGATCGTTTTTTGACCTGGATCATTTGAGATTCTCCTAACACATAAACATGACAAACTGTGAGTCATCAGTATCAATACTGTCTGACCGGGTATAGTAAACAAACGAAAAATGGATATAGTAAATATGGGATGCTATAAGTAAATCTACCAACAAATACAACGCATATGGTCCCCACTGCTACATGTAGTGGTCAGTGAGTCCTTGATTCATGATTACACCGGATCTCATTCCAAAATGGATAGTGTGTTAAGCTGCGGTACAGTCATATAACAGAGAACACGGAGGTAACTAGAGCTCCCTGATCTTCCCTGTAGTCAACTGAAGAGATTCATTGACTGTTCACACTAATCCCATGAGTACTGGGAGAACCCCATCCATTAACTCACCTAGCCATTGATTTGACTAATAGCTGAGCTAGTTGAGCATTAAGTGTACTTTGAAATGCTACTAATCATCTATCGTAGGGCGGTAATTAGAAGGTAATTTTCTATCTGATGAAAACATTTCCTGTAATTGACCTACAGGAAATAAACATGGCATTACTCAAAGAACAATACCTCTACTTTCTTTAGATAGATACGTTGACTTCATTTAGATGTTCAATAAGCACAATAATGACTGCACAGAAGGTAGGCCACGTTTAGACTTTACTTTAATGATGTCTTCATTACTTTAACATGGGTGTGATTAATGTAATGTGCACGTTGTCAAGGATACACGTTATTTCTTTCAAGTAATTGTACCTTCACATGCACAGGTACACAAAGGATTGTGCCTGTGGATCTCGAGTACTTTTCTTTAAACATCTGCTAAATATGACATCGTTTATATTTCAGTAATGGCGTCGAGCACCTGATCCTGAAATCAACACGTGTTTGCACCATTGCTGGTTGCATCACAAGGTTCTATAGTCAATATATCCCTATGTTGTACATCAAATGTACAATGCCCATATGTGATACTACAAGATCTGTGTCCCTAGTATGGTGATCTACCTTCAGTTGTTGGTAATCGATAGCCGGGTTTTTATGTTGTATTGTCCTGTATTGTAATACATGTTTTATGCTTAAATGCTAGTTTTAACTATCTATCTGTGATATCCTAGTTGTTTTACTGTCCTTTGTTTGACAGAATTTACAAAATAATTTGTTGTTTTTTATTATTGCAGTATAAATTGTTATAGTAACGATTTGGCTGCAATATTGCCAATGTAACTCTAAATCTTAACTCACACACTCTCTCACTACAATATATGTTCAACCATTCTGTTTGAAAATCGTGCAGTTTTCTAGTTTGCACCTTCTGAATAGATAATATTCTACTTTTCCGAAGGTTTATTTACATTTTCCCATTGAAAAACAGAATGTGATCATGAGAATGACATAGAATGACACTTTCTCTGGAAGATAATAATAAGTCATCTTCTATAGCGCACAGTCTCCAAACACCAAGTGATTGTTCGCGGCATTAATCAGAATTAGAATAATCAGAATTATTCCTCGTGATTCCTCACCAGTCTCCTCAAACATGTTTGTAACATAGACGATAGAGAATATAGTTACCCTGAGGGCAGAAAGTCAGTGATCACTTGACCGCATCATACTTAACAGTTAGTATGACATAGTATTTGTTGTTGCCGTACCTGGCATGAATGGATGAAATAATGATAAGAGGTAAATCCATGTAGCATGATATTACAGTGAGTGAGTGAGTTAATATTTATCGTCACATCGGCAATATTTCAGCGATATCGTGACGAGAACAATTAATACTTATATTATAGATCAATACAATTTGAAACTAAAAGCCTGTTGACAAAGAACAGTAAAACAACTAGTGTATCACAGATATCCATTTAAAACTAGTAATTAAAACTAAAACTTTTTAACTAGACAAGACAATGTTAAAACAGGCTATAGATTGCCAACAACATGAGGTAGATCACCATACTAGGGACCATTGGGACTTACAGTACATTTGCTTCCTGCATGTACCCTAGCTGGATTTACACCATCCCTTCAGCTCTTAGCAGTTTAGATACAGTTAGCCATATATTAAAAAGACACATATTCTACGATTAAAAAGAGTGGATGGATTTAAATAGACTTGGAATGTTTTGGGACTTACGTACCCACTCAGGAGAACAAAACTTCTACAATACTTTGAGTATATGGCATGATATTTCAGAGGGCTAGCACACTGAAAGCACATTACAACCTGCAAACGAACGCACGCACATACGTGTTCATCCTCTATAAGTAATCATGCGTGCAAGGTATAACCCATTTTCACACAGGAAAGAGATTCTGGCCTGATCATTATAGCACCTTCGCTTTTCTTCAACAAAATATATCACCCAATGTTAATGACGCATTTGAGGGAGTACCTGAAGTATACAGGGAAAAGTCAATTACACAGATTCAGAACCTTCCCTGTAAAATATTATATTAATTGAAAATTAAATGGGGTACTAGGTTGACATGAGGAACTCCACGAATCTATGACTTACAAAAAGATGTTTGTTTACGTAAAACAGTTGTCACAGGGTGTGGCACGTTTTGAAGATTTGCGAGCATCAAATACCATTTAACTCCGCTAAAACAATCCATTGCAGCATACCCTCACATTTCCTCTGCAATCACGATTCACTGTAAAACGAACTTGTGGAACGTGTTCAGCCCTGTCACTGACATGCTGTAGCGTTGCTGCACAGGGAATGAATCCGGACAGGGAGAACAATTCCGGTTTTGTTTTGTGATCACGAGCACGACTGGTCTATGCCAAAATTGATATGATTACAAATATTGATATTACCATTCGCACCCTGACAGCTGTGCGAGATTATAGAGGCATCATGTGCACGTTTGAGACGATCTCGAAATAATATAATTTCTTTCTTCTTGGAAATGTCAAAGTGACTAAACACACCCGTGTGAATGTGATGCTATGATATGGATATCGATTTCACGTGAATGGTATCTTATTCCCCGCTAGTTAGACAAGTCAGACAAAAGATGAACGCTATAAGTGAAGGTCTGTTTCAGAAATATATGTGGCCAAGTCCTTTCAATATTCAAGAGACAAATGTGCTAACACGAGAGTAGGTTGAACGATTTTAACATCAGCATGTATTTATTACCAACAGTCAAGAAGTGATAAAACCAGTTGTTCGACAAAAAATGAGAGAATGAATTGCATCAGCAGTTAATTGTCACAGTAATACAACGTTTGCCAGCACAGTGGGTACAGTATGCAGGGCACATTTCTGCTGACCAAGCTGTATATTGCTGATAGCGGAGTAAAACCATATTCATTCACTCATACCATCCGGACCAAGGCCAAAAATACGAGGGGGTATCAAAAGTTCCAATTATCACCAAGAACTTACTGAGCAATCAGGATAAAATTTTGACTGTAACATCAGTGATCCCTATCTAGTTAATGGACCAAGAACTATCTACTTCACTGAATTCAGACTTGTGCTAGTTGATCCTACACACCAGTACCCCCAAGTATGGAGAAGATTGAGGCGTGCAGTGTCATTAAGTTCTTGCACTTGAAGTGCTGCACTGCAAGACAAATTCACGATGAGATGAAATCTGTTTATGGTGATGATAGCTCATCCTATAACACTGTTGTGAGATGGAAAAGGAATTTCCAAACCAGTCACATGTCCCTCAGAGATGAGCCAAGAAGTGGACGCCCCTCACTTACTGATGATATGGACTGCGTGAACAATGTCGAGGCGCTGGTTCAGGAAGATCGCCGTGTAACAATACAAATGGTTATGCATGAGACCGACTTGAGTTATGACAGTGCATGGAACATCTTTCATAACCAACTGCACATATCCAAAGTGTCAGCATGCTGGGTTCCTCACTTACTGACTCCTCTTCAAAGACAGGCTCGACGGGACATGTCACGACAGGCATTGGAGCTTCTGGAGCAGGGTGAAGAGGATTTCTTCAGACGTCTTGTAACTAAGTGACTTTTTCTTGTTCCCAGCGATGAAGAACCCACTTCGTGGACGTCATGGCAGTATAGTGATCTGCCTTCAGCTGCTGGCGATACTCAGCCCTTTTGTATATTGTATTGTCCTGATCGAAATCTAATTTTAGAGATAGATGCTAGTATTAATTCTTGTTGCTGTGATAATCTAGTTGGTTTTACTGTTCCTCGTCGATAGTTGTTTTTGTTCATAATCTAACTGTATTTATCATTTATAACTAGTTTCAGTCACGATATGGCAGAAATACTGCCGATGTGACTATAGATTTTAACTCACTCAGTCACTTTCATGTCTCTTGAGATTCTAGGTTAAGTGTTTTAAGATATCATATACGCTAAATATACCTATGAATGGCACATCATACCATGCCTCTGGAATATCTAAATAAAGAAATGGTCTTCAGAAGTTGAGACTGCAGTTGAAAACACATTGACAACCATCAGAGCATTTAACCTTTGTCGACTCTAGTTGATATATTTGAAATCGAAAGGCAAACAATAGTCATGATTCTTTCTGTCTTTTGTTTTATGATTGAAGAATAGAGTGGGTTTACGAGAAACAAAGTCCTGTCTGAGATGCTCATTTTAGCCAGTTTTTTGTTTCTTTTATTCCTTACTTGGATGTGGGGTTGACAAACACAGCAACACCAAGAGGAATCGACATCAACTGAAACTTTACATTTATGGTCTTTGGAATAAGTAAAACGAAATATTTTGCACCACCAAGTATTTTTCCTTACGAAAATATGTCAGCAGACCCACAGTTAAAACATCCTTATATAATTTTGATGTTTTTTCAGTCGGAATTCTTAACTGATAAAAACGGCCCAGCTGAGAGGTGTCTTGGGGCACATAGGTTCTTGTGACGTTGTGTCCTTATTTTCAATTTTTGAGGTTCAGTCGAACATGATATCCCTGCCAACATTTCAAGCAACTTTGCACGATTCCTGTTTAAATTTATTTGATTTGAAATACAGTGTTCAGGGTCTTATTATGCATAGACAATAGTTGATGGTGGATACAAGGAGGAAATGTCCTTATTTCACACCTTATATAAGAAACTGATGTTCGATGCTTATACCATACGTGCCAAGGTTATTTGTCCAGGTGGACTTTTTTTGGCAACACCAACGGTTTCATAGTGATCATGGACACTGTCACTTCTGATCAAATGGTTACCACTGACCACACCATGTATTCTGTCTAATTAAACAATTTTCATCCATTCACTTAGTGATCAGTTTGTCTTAATCATTAGCTGATATTTCTTGAGCTAAACAGCTTCTAATTACGTTTTCGTTCATCTGTCTCACTAGAGCCCTATCCACCTTAGTTTTTGACACGACCTTGGTGTTTTGAAATGCAGTTCGTTGGTGGAATTTGAGTGACTGTCATAAATGTCAAGCATTCAACACTCCAGGTTTACAGTCAGTCAGTCCTCGTAGATATTGGAATTTGATAGGTGCACTCTTCATAGCCATATCTGTCAGCTGATTCAGCGATTTATAACATTAATCTATTTATGTCCCCCTGAAATAGCTTTTACAGAGGCTTCCAACACTGCTTATGCTACTGAAACTAAACTTTCACTAACGTGGTAATAATAGCAATAACTGTTGACCTGTGCTGCTTTTGGCCATAGGATACTTAGAGGGTGCTTCATTCTCAGTGAACATAGTTCCCTCTGTGTGACCTCCAATTCCTGCTAATTGCTTTCCTGTTTGAACCGATCTTATATCATGCAAACACTGCAATAATTTCACCATAATGTTGATGCTCATGTCCACTTTAGATCCGATTCGTTTTATTCCCTTTCAGATATTTGTCACATGTGAATATTCATCTGTATTCCATCAGAGTAATGTGAATCATTACAACATTTATTACGTAATACAGAGACTTATCGAAGTCATAAACTCTAAGTATGCAGAGGTTGGACAATTTTCTATTTAAAGTGAAGAAGGATTTTATGCATTTCTGAATATTTTCAAACTTTCTCCAAATTACTTCTGTGATGCACAGGTTTCATGATTCAACTGATCTCTAAAAGTAACAAACTTTAGATGATTTCTTAGAAAACGGTCGCTTTTATGTGAGCCATGCCTCATAGATCTTATTTTCCCTGCTCTTTGATCTGCATGTCTGTTGAAGAAGGGAATCAGATGAGCTGGAAATGGAAATTGAACAACATCCGAGTGCTGATGAGGAACATCATTGCAATCTCAAATCATCATTCAGATTGTTTTCACTGACACGACCTGTATCAGAACCCAGGTCATATCAGGGGACAAAAACAACCAAAATGGGAGGAAAATCTTGTCATGCAATGAAGCCCTATCAAACACTGTTCTAATTTCAACAGCGGAGCGTATTAGTTGCGCTGAGGCCACTCGTGGCTGATTAAAGTTTGGTAATACCAGTGTCAATTGCTTCTCCACACTGCAATCAAGCCCACATGCCGTGGAACCTTTTCCAGTATAAAATGTTTTAAACTACATTTCCTTGGTCGATATCCCCATGCTCGAAGATTCACATGATGAAAGGACCTTTCAAACTTCTTCATGCCCCTGCTGCCTATGACCAACTGGGTGTCGTAATTATCGCCATTAGGCACTGTGGCACATACATCATGCTACCGTTTAGTGCGTTGCGAAAATATGAGGTTGAATGATATCCCATTTTTTAAAAGGAACCACTGATTTAATCAATTTTATACGACTTAGCAACGAGATTAGTTTTCAGAAAGATTAATAAATATGTTAATCCATGAACTACAATTTCCTTCAGTGAGTAATATGTTTGTACGTTATCAATCGCATCTTCATGAATTAATTAATTTGTGAAACACGGCTCACGTATCTTAATGATGTTACGCTGCTTTTTAGCAATGGCGTGTGAGTACCAAACACTGGCTTAACATGATCTACCTATGCTGAAAATGGAAGCTAAGGATGCCGCATGGCAAGCGTTCGCTACTACTACTGGACTACCCCACCGTCCGTAGTGTTCCTGTGTATGTATACTTTTGTGACATGCGGCCTATAGATAAATCATGGTGAAAATGTATGTATGATGTATAACAATAAGTAATAACACACTTATACTTTGACGTGAGAAAGTCCAAAAGGATTTTTAAGTAATAAATGAATGAATCCATAAATAATGTTCTTAAAAACCACAAACTGAGCATACATCGACAACAATTGAAATGTTTATTCTCTCAAAATATCAATACACTTTGGAATATGTACATTTCAGTGCAAGAGATATTAAAACCCGTACCTCACTCATCTAAAAATATAATGAGTAAACGGTAAGTGTAAATCAATCTCTATGTCATCCATTTACCAAAATGAATGATCATTATGTTTCTGTTTGAAGTCCCCATTCTCCCTGACGTTGATTGCTAAATACCCTATTGTTTGTTTTTCTTCTGTAAGGTGACAGTAGGTTGGTATTGTATCCACCAGTTTATTGAAAACATCTCTGATTCACGCTCTCACCATCCATGCATATGTTCCAGTATTAAAGAATATGGTATCAGGCCAAAGGAAATAAATTCAGTCCCTGTCGTCAGAAAGGTACCTAAATACAATCTCAGGCAAAACAAGTGTCAGTAATTATTAACATATTTACATTGTCGAGTTGAGAACAAGTCGCCGGTAAATCTTCCTAGTTGCCATTTACTGTACATATATGGCGCTTATTCTCCATACAAGTATCCTTGAGAAGGTCAATATTCGTCCACTGGCTGTGAAAAAGGACAATCCGTGTCATAACAAACTTTCATCCTCTTCTTGTGATTGATTTTCTGATACTTCCTCGGAGGTCTCATCATCTTCTTCATCGCTTAAATCTGCCAAAATATTTTTAGAAAACATATCACCGTGTTGGTCAGAAATGAAATAGGTTTGATTACAGTCTCATATTTCCAGATGCTGGATACATTGATTATTTCATATTTTAAGACGGAAATAGGATGGAATGTGTTAAGTGTGTAATTTCATTAAGGCATTAAAAGGAAGCCCATGTCTATCAAGTAACCACGTGATCGATTTCAACGTCAACTATTTTCTCGTCACGATATGGCTGAAATATTGCCGATTTGACGTTAAATATTAACTCACTCACTATCAAGTAACCTATGAGGTTTTGCACCACTAGTTACTTTCATCCAAAGTCTTCATCTCACACGTGCATTACGTTTAACTTTCCTCACACATCAAGGGGTTCGATCCCCGACCGCGTCATACCAAAAAGACGTTAAAATATGGTACTTGTTGGTCCCTGCCTGGCGCATTTGGCATTAATGGGTACAACAAGGACTGGTCGGCTCGGAGTCAGTATAATGTGTCTGAGTGGGGTATTCATGCTTCACTGCGGCATGGTATCTCAGTGGGCTAGCACTATAAAACCAGCTTACGTCTGGGCTAGTACAAGCAGCCACACATTTACATACACACGCATGCACGTCGTCATATGAGTGAAATATTCTCAAGCACGACGTAAAACCCAATTTCACCTCACCTCACCCACATCAAGGTAACAAAACGTGATGTAATCAAGCAACTCACTCAACCACTCACTCATTCACTCACCGCTGTCCGAGTCCTCGGATTCCTCCGTTTCAGTGACGTCATCACTACTGTCGTCATCTGATTGAGTTTTCATTGAGTCCTGAACTTCACCAACTGGCTGGTAACCCTTTCGTTTGTTATCTGAAAAAAAGTTAAAAGATGCGATTACAAACAAAAGTATAGAGTGAATATTATTACATTCGTCATGTATATTACAGTTGACAGTGGACATCATTACATTTACGATGTGTATTACAGTATAGAGTCGAAATTACATTCGTCATGTATATTACAGTTGACAGTGGACATCATTACATTTACGACGTGCATTACAGTATAAAGTCGATATTACATTCGTCAAGTATATTACAATTGACAGCGGACATCATTACATTTACGACGTGCGTTACAGTATAGAGTCGATATTACATTCGTCATGTTTATTACAGTTAAAGGTGGACATCATTACATTTACGATGTGCATTACAGTATAGAGTCGATATTACATTCGTCATGTATATTACAGTTGACAGTGGACATCATTACATTTACGACGTGCATTACAGTATAGAGTCGATATTACATTCGTCATGTATATTACAGTTGACATCATTACATTTACGACGTGCATTACTGTATAGAGTCGATATTACATTCGTCATGTATATTACAATTGACAGTGGACATCATTACATTTACGATGTGCATTACTGTATAGAGTCGATGTTACATTCGTCATGTATATTACAGTTGACAGTGGACATCATTACATTTACGATGTGCATTACTGTATAGAGTCGATGTTACATTCGTCATGTATATTCAGCAGTTACCCATTTGTTGAGTTACAACACTTGAATCACCATGCTATGGAATGTCATTATATGTTCAGGTAACCTATAAGCTCACGACTCGTGAAGATCCGGGGTAGAATAGGTCTTCAGCAACCCATTCTTGTCATAAAAAGCGACTATGCTTGTCGTAAAAGGCGACTAACGGGATCGGGTGGTCAGGCTCGCTGCCTTGGTTGACACATGTCATCGGTTCCCAATTGCGCAGATCGATGCTCATGCTGTTGATCACTGGATTGTCTGGTGCAAGGTATAACCCATTTTCACACAGGAAAGAGATTCTGACCTGATCATTATAGCACCCTCGCTTTTCTTCAACAACATATATCTCCCAATGTTAATGACGCATTTGAGGGAGTACCTGAAGTATACAGGGAAAAGTCAATTACACAGATTCAGAACCTTCCCTGTAAAATATTATGTAAATTGAAAATTAAATGGGGTACTAGGTTGACATGAGGAACTCCACGAATCTATGACTTACAAAAATATGTTTGTTTGCGTAAAACAGCTGTCACACGGTGTGGCACGTTCTGAAGATTTGCGAGCATCAAATATCATTTAACTCCGCTTAAACAATCCATTGCAGCATACACTCACATTTCTTCTGCAATCACGATTCACTGTAAAACGAACTTGTGGAACGTGTTCAGCCCTGTCACTGACACGCTATAGCGTTGCTGCACAGGGAATGAATCCGGACAGCGAGAACAATTCCGGTTTTGTTTTGTGATCACGAGCACGACTGGTCTATGCCAAAACTGATATGATTACAAATATTGATATTACCATTCGCACCCTGACAGCTGTGCGAGATTGTAGAGGCATCATGTGCACGTTTGAGACGATCTCGAAATAATATAATTTCTTTCTTCTTGGAAATGCCAAAATGACTAAACACACCCGTCCGGAATGTGATGCTATGATATGGAGATCGATTTCACGTGAATGGTATCTTATTCTCCGCTAGTCAGACAAGTCAGACAAAAGATGAACGCTATAAGTGAAGGTCTGTTTAAGAAATATATGTTGCCAAGTCCTTTCAATATTCAAGATACAAATGTGCTAACACGAGAGTAGGTTGAACGATTTTAACATCAGCATGTATTTATTACCAACAGTCAAGAAGTGATAAAACCAGTTGTTCGACAAAAATTGAGAGATAATGAATTGCATCAACAGTTAATTGTCACCGCAATACAACGTTTGCGGGCCGGCGGCGTAGCGCAGTGGGTACAGTATGCAGGGCACATTTCTGCTGACCAAGCTGTATATTGCTGATAGCGGAGTAAAACCATACGCATTCACTCATACCGTCCGGACCAAGACCAAAAATACGAGGGGGTATCAAAAAGTTACAATTATCACCAAGAACTTACTGAGCAATCAGGATAAAATTTTGACTGTAACATCAGTGATCCTTATCTAGTTAATGGACCAAGAACTATCTACTTCACTAAATTCAGTCTTGTGTTGATCCTACACACCAGTACCCCCAAATATGGAGAAGATTGAGGCGTGCAGTGTCATTAAGTTCTTGCACTTGAAGTGCTGCACTGCACGACAAATTCACGATGAGATGAAATCTGTTTATTGTGATGATAGCTCATCCTATGATACTGTTGTGAGATGGAAAAGGAATTTCCAAACCGGTCACACGCCCCTCACTTACTGATGATATGGACACCGTGAACAATGTCAAGGCGCTGGTTCAGGAAGATCGCCGTGTAACAATACAAATGGCTATGCATGTGACCGACTTGAGTTATGGCAGTGCATGGAACATCTTTCATAACCAACTGCATATATCCAAAGTGTCAGCATGCTGGGTTCCTCACTTACTGACTCCTCTTCAAAGACAGGCTCGACGGGACATGTCACGAGAGGCATTGGAGCTTCTGGAGCAGGGTGAAGAGGATTTCTTCAGACGTCTTGTAACTAAGTGACTTTTTCTTGTTCCCAGCGATGAAGAACCCACTTCGTGAACGTCATGGCAGTATGGTGATCTGCCTTCAGCTGCTGGCGATACTCAGCCCTTTTTCATATTGTATTGTCCTGATCGAAATCTAATTTTAGAGATAGATGCTAGTATTAATTCTTGTTGCTGTGATAATCTAGTTGGTTTTACTGTTCCTCGTCGATAATTTTATTTTCCATAATCTAACTGTATTTATCATTTATAACTAGTTTCAGTCACGATATGGCAGAAATACTGCCGATGTGACTATAGATTTTAACTCACTCAGTCACTTTCATGTCTCTTGAGATTCTGGGTTAAGAGTTTTAAGATATCACATACGCTAAATATACCTATGAATGGCACATCATACCATGCCTCTGGAATATCTAAATAAAGAAATGGTCTTCAGAAGTTGAGACTGCAGTTGAAAACACATTGACAACCATCAGAGCTTTTAACCTTTGTCGACTCAAGTTGATATATTTGAAATCGAAAGGCAAACGATGGTCATGATTCTTTCTGTGTTTGTTTTGTGATTGAAGAATAGAGTGGGTTTACGAGAAACAAAGTCCTGTCTGAGATGCTCATTTTAGCCAGTTTTTGTGTTTATTTTATTCCTTACTTGGATGTGGGGTTGCCAAACACAGCAACACCAAGAGAAATCGACATCAACTGAAACTTTACATTTATGGTCTTCGGAATAATTAAATCGAAAGATTTTTCACCACCAAGTATTTTTCCTTACAAAAATATGTCAGCAGACCCACAGTTAAAACATCCTTATATAAGTTTTTTCAGTCGGAATTCTTAACTGATCAAAACGGCCCAGCTGAGAGGTGTCTTGGGGCACATTAAGTCATCTAGTCCTGGGATATACATTACAGACATTAGAAAGACTTCAATCAATGTCGTGAGCGTCACCATGCTTAACTGTACACTCTTTTCTCTGCCCGATGGCTTTGTAGAGTCTGGACATGAACAACCTTATTGGGCCCATCTGTGCCATTGGGGCGCCTTTCCGTTTAAACAAGAATATCCAGTTACACTACAACTAAACACTACGACCTTTACTTGGCAAGGTGTTAAAATGATGAGTGGTTTTGTGATCATTTGCAACGGGCCTCATTTGTTAAACGTGAATGTATTTAGTTTTGTGTGTACATCAACGCACTCCTGTTTCCTGTCCGTTCTGGAGGGGATATGAGTATCAGTTCATAATTATGAACTGATGATTATTAGAAGAGAGTGTATTGTTTTCCCAGGAGATCACAATGAGACCATTCTTTCAAAGAATGCTATTCCTACAATAAGTCAAACCTCTGTAGTCATGTAAATTTCAGTTGTTGGCTAAACTTGCATTAAACTCGATTATATAGTGTGTCCTTGAATGCTGATTTAACATTTTAAAATGATCACAATCGAGTTTTATATCTATCCTTTGTGAACAGATTTGTATCAAGTATGACTAACTCATTCTCTCACCACAAGTGAAGAGAAACGGGAACTTCAGGTCCACATATTCCCTGGTAAGATGACCTAGCTTGGGTTACTGGTGATCTGTAGTCTGTACGCTTTCATTAGTAATTCTGTTGCATATTCATGTGTCTATAAAGTTTTATCAAGTTTGTTTCATTCTAAATGTGATAGGGGCGGTGGGGTAGACTGGTGGATAATGCGTTTGCCCGTCACGCCGAAGACCCGGGTTCGATTCCCCAAATGGGTACAATGTGTGAAGCCCATGTCTAGTGTCCCTCGTCGTCATATTGCTGGAATATTGCTAAAAGCAGCATAAAACCAAACTCACTCACTCTAAATATGTGATACACCTCACACTATTTCATACAGTAGGTTCTTGTGACGTTGTGTCCTTATTTTCAATTTTTGAGGTTCAGTCGAACATGATATCCCTGCCAACATTTCAAGCAACTTTGCACGATTCCTGTTTAAATTTATTTGATTTGAATTACAATGTTCAGGGTCTTATTATGCATAGACAATAGTTGATGGTGGATACAAGGAGGTAAAGTCCTTGATCATGGACACTGTTACTTCTGATCTAATGGTTACCACTGACCACACCATGTATTCTGTCTAATTAAACAATTTTCATCCATTCACTTAGTGATCAGTTTGTCTTAATCATTAGCTAATTTTTCTTGAGCTAATCAGTTTCTAATTACGTTTTCGTTCATCTGTCTCACTAGAGCCCTATCCACCTTAGTTCTTGACACGACCTTGGTGTTTTGAAATGCAGTTCGTTGGTGGAATTTGAGTGACTGTCATAAATGTCAAGCACTCAACACTCCAGGTTTACATGACCAGATTTCCATGTGAATAAAAACTATCACAGTCAGTCCTCGTAGATATTGGAATTTGATAGGTGCACTCTTCATAGCCGTATCTGTCAGCTGATTCAGCGATTTATAACATTAAACTATTTATGACCCCTGGAATAGCTTTTACAGAGGCTTCGAACACTGCTTATGCTACTGAAACTAAACTTTCACTAACGTGGTAATAATAGCAATAACTGTTGACCTGTGCTGCTTTTGGCCATAGGATACTTAGAGGGTGCTTCATTCTCAGTGAACATAGTTCCCTCTGTGTGACCTCCAATTCCTGCTAATTGCTTTCCTGTTTGAACCGATCTTATATCATGCAAACACTGCAATAATTTCTCCATAATGTTGATGCTCATGTCCACTTTAGATCCGATTCGTTTTATTCCCTTTCAGATATTTGTCACATGTGAATATTCATCTGTATTCCATCAGAGTAATGTGAATCATTACAACATTTATTACGTAATACAGAGACTTATCGAAGTCATAAACTCTAACTATGCAGAGGTTGGACAATTTTCTATTTAAATTGAAGAAGGATTTTATGCATTTCTGAATATTTTCAAACTTTCTCCAAATTACTTCTGTGATGCACAGGTTTCATGATTCAACTGATCTCTAAAAGTAACAAACTTTAGATGATTTCTTAGAAAACGGTCGCTTTTATGTGAGCCATGCCTCATAGATCTTATTTTCCCTGCTCTTTGATCTGCATGTCTGTTGAAGAAGGGAATCAGATGAGCTGGAAATGGAAATTGAACAACATCCGAGTGCTGATGAGGAACATCATTGCAATCTCAAATCATCATTCAGATTGTTTTCACTGACACGACCTGTATCAGAACCCAGGTCATATCAGGGGACAAAAACAACCAAAATGGGAGGAAAATCTTGTCATGCAATGAAGCCCTATCAAACACTGTTCTAATTTCAACAGCGGAGCGTATTAGTTGCGCTGAGGCCACTCGTGGCTGATTAAAGTTTGGTAATACCAGTGTCAATTGCTTCTCCATATTGCAATCAAGCCCACATGCCGTGGAACCTTTTTCAGTATAAAATGTTTTAAACTACACTTCCTTGGTCGATATCCCCATGCTCGAAGATTCACATGATGAAAGGACCTTTCAAACTTCTTCATGCCCCTGCTGCCTATGACCAACTGGGTGTCGTAATTATCGCCATTAGGCACTGTGGCACATACATCCAGCTACCGTTTAGTGCGTTGCGAAAATATGAGGTTGAATGATATCCCATTTTTTAAAAGGAACCACTGATTTAATCAATTTTATACGACTTAGCAACGAGATTAGTTTTCAGAAAAGATTAATAAATATGTTAATCCATGAACTACAATTTCCTTCAGTGAGTAATATGTTTGTACGTTATCAATCGCATCTTCATGAATTAATTAATTAGTGAAACACGGCTTACGTAGTCCTGCTTGATGATGTTACGTTGCTTTTAGCAATGGCGTGTGAGTACCAAACACTGGCTTAACATGATCTACCTATGCTGAAAATGGAAAGCTAAGGATGCCGCATGGCAAGCGTTCGCTACTACTACTGGACTACCCCACCGTCCTTAGTGTTCCTGTGTATGTATACTTTTGTGACATGCGGCCTATAGATAAATCATGGTGAAAATGTATGTATGATGTATAACAATAAGTAATAACACACTTATACTTTGACGTGAGAACGTCCCAAAGGATTTTAAAGTAATAAATGAATGAATCCATAAATAATGTTCTTAAAAACCACAAACTGAGCATACATCGACAACAATTGAAATGTTTATTTCTCTCAAAATATCAATACACTTTGGAATATGTACATTTCAGTGCCAGAGATATTAAAAACCGTACCTCGCTCATCTAAAAATATAATGAGTAAACGGTAAGTGTAAATCAATCTCTGTGTCATCCATTTACCAAAATGAATGATCATTATGTTTCTGTTTGAAGTCCCAATTCTCCCTGACTTTGATTGCTAAATACCCTATTGTTTGTTTTCTTCTGTAAGGTGACAGTAGGTTGGTATTGTATCCACCAGTTTATTGAAAACATCTCTGATTCACACTCTCACCATCCATGCATATGTTCCAGGATTAAAGCATATGGTATCAGGCCAAAGGAAATAAATTCAGTCCCTGTCGTCAGAAAGGTACCTAAATACAATCTCAGGCAAAACGAGTGTCAGTAATTATTAACATATTTACAGTGTCGAGTTGAGAACAAGTCGCCGGTAAATCTTCCTAGTTGCCATTTACTGTACATATATGGCGCTTATTCTCCTTACAAGTATCCTTGAGAAGGTCAATATTCGTCCACTGGCTGTGAAAAAGGACAATCCGTGTCATAACAAACTTTCATCCTCTTCTTGTGATTGATTTTCTGATACTTCCTCAGAGGTCTCCTCATCTTCTTCATCGCTTAAATCTGCCAAAATATTTTTAGAAAACATATCACCGTGTTAGTCGCAAATGAAACAGGTTTCGATTTAATCTCATATTTCCAGATGCTGGATACATTGATTATTTCATATTTAAAGACGGAAATAGGATGGAATGTGTTAAGTGTGTAATTTCATTAAGACATTAAAAGGAAGCCCATGTCTATCAAGTAACCACGTGTTCGATTTCAACGTCAACTATGTTCTCGTCACGATATGGCTGAGATATTGCCGATTTGACGTTAAATATTAACTTACTCACTCGCTCACTATCAAGTAACCTATGAGGTTTTGCACCACTAGCTACTTTCATCCAAAGTCTTCATCTCACACGTGCATTACGTTTAACTTTCCTCACACATCAAGGGGTTCGATCCCCGACCGCGTCATACCAAAAAGACGTTAAAATATGGTACTTGTTGGTCCCTGCCTGGCGCTCGGCATTAATGGGTACAACAAGGACTGGTCGGCTCGGAGTCAGTATAATGTGTCTGAGTGGGGTATTCATGCTTCACTGCGGCATGGTATCTCAGTGGGCTAGCACTATAAAACCAGCCTAAGTCTGGGCTAGTACAAGCAGCCACACATATACATACACACGCATGCACGTCGTCATATGAGTGAAATATTCTCAAGCACGACGTAAAACCCAATTTCACCTCACCTCACCCACATCAAGGTAACAAAACGTGATGTAATCAAGCAACTCACTCAACCACTCACTCATTCACTCACCGCTGTCTGAGTCCGAGTCCTCGGATTCCTCAGTTTCAGTGACATCATCACTACTGTCGTCATCTGATTGAGTTTTCAATGAGTCCTGGACTTGACCAACTGGCTGGTAACCCTTTCGTTTGTTATCTGAAAAAAAAGTTAAAAGATGCGATTACAAGCAAAAGATAGAATGAACATTATTGCATTCGTCATATATATTACAGCTGACAGTGGACATCATTACATTTACGACGGGCATTCCAGTATAGAGTCGATATTACATTCGTCATGTATATTTCAGTCGACAGTGGACATCATTACATTTACGACGTGCATTACAGTATAGAGTCGATATTACATTCGTCATGTATATTCAGCAGTTACCCATTTTGTTGAGTTACCACTCTTGAATAAAAATGCTATGGAATGTCATTATATGTTCAGGTAACCTATAAGCTCACGACATTTCGGCATATTTCAGTTCTAAACTTTCCAAATTGGGCTGGGATAATGGAGAATAATTAGATAGCATACAGGGACGGACTGTGTGAAAGTCCACAGGAAATAACTTGTTTACTTTTATGTGTCCAATAAGAAAATACTGGTAATGTTTAGCAGCCAATGCCGGTGGTAAAAGGTGGCTTAAGAGAAGGGCGGTCACACTCTTGGTCTTTGTCATCAAATTCCAGTTATTTAGATGGCTACACATTAAGATAATTACTGGATTGATATCGACGCCATATAGATGGTAAAGTCTTTATGCCAAGGGTAAACACAGTTTTAGTTTTAACTTGACGCTGAAATAATTATTTGTCACACTGTACCCTAATTGCTATGCTTCTTATTTAGAATGTTTCTTTCTTAACGCCCTTATACTCCAGCTGTATGATGGAGGCAGTAGATACTCGAATATTTTCCAGTCACAAAAAAGAGAGAATCGATTATTTTGATTTTGTTTACAACGCTGATAGTTAATTTTGAATTCATGTTCTTGTTTCAACAAAATCATGCTGAGCATGAAATGCTTTTCTGTGCAACTTAAAAGAGCCATAAAATGTCCAGTTAGGAAGAACCATAGTGTCAGGATCCACCCCTGTAATACGTCAAGTTCTCACAATATAATCGTCTAAATAGATTAGAGTTTAAATTTTCCTCCTTCAGAACAATATAATGTTTTCGCGTTGGCGTCAGTAACATTGAGAAGTGAAACAGTCATTATGCTTGTTAGTTGTGACACTCCAATCGATCAAGTGCGACCCGAATCGGGTCTTCATTCAGTCTCTGCAAATGTTGACATTTAGTCCATCAGGACTGACAGGTTTGAGACCGGCGTCTGTACACAGCAAGTTTCCTTAACCAGCATTACACCTTGGTAGACGCTGTCATCAGCAACTACTTGGCTCTGATCGATCAGTACCGGTTCTCCACAGATTCACATCGATTGTCAAAATTCCATTAAATGTGCCAATGCCCAAATGGCTGTCAGGAAGGGGAAATTTCCACATGCTTTTACGACCGGTCTCTCAGCTGACAATGTTTTGATTTCGCAGACGAAACAGCAAATAACACAATAACGTTGGAGTGGAGCATGCCAGAGGTGAGGCAGAAACCTCACAAAACGCAATTTAACGAACTTTATCCCTCATTAATTGACTAACAGTGTCTAAGGGAATTTGCTGCTTGGTTGAGGCCCGGTTGACAGCCCATGGCATGTTACGATTGACGGTGGGACAGTTGCTCAGCCATCCAGTGCAACAATGCGCTTTTTCAAAACGGCCATTCAAAGTAGCTGAAGTTGAAGCACTGCGCTTTAGCAAATATCTTCATAGGTGCTGTACATAAAATTTATGTAGAACATACTATAAACGTTAAACCTTATCGCTTATATACTTTTGTGCTGTGATTAAGTGGTTACTCTTACGTTAATACTGTAGCCAGTGTGAAACTGAAAAACTGCCTCGAAGTTCCCACAGTGTAATGATATAAGATATATTTGAAATATGTGGTAGAACACATTGGTTAAGTGCTGGTACAAGCATGGTACTGAAAGAAGAAGGTCCGTGGTCAGCGGAAATCCGGGCTTGGACCCTGTTACGTCTCAACTCATGTTTGCGTTGTCATTGTTTCGGTCATATGTGAGCAATACTTCGTGTAGTTTGGGCATAATGTATTTTGGTATGCAGCATGTATTATAAGGGAATGATTTACAAAACTACAAAAAAAACAAAGTTTAATCAAGGGATTCTGATCGAACTCTAAAATCTAACAATAGTGCATTGTTCAGGAACCCAACACATTTGCCCCCTCGGAACGTTGCTTAGAGACTGTGCTGTGTACAAATTGATGCAAACTACATTAAATGAACTTGATCGTAATATACCGTGAGCTGAAGAGTCTAACTGAAACAGAATGACGGCACATCTGCCTTTTTGTAACTTAGAACCCTATTTTGTGTTTATATCTGCTTTTCCCCCGAGGCTATTCAGTGCGATTATGTCTTTGAGATCAATCAGCTCGGGAAAATGAAGTGTTCCGCCTTATACAAACACAGCCAGGCGTGTGATTTCATTCCTGTTACATTTTATCTGACACGTTAAGGTTTTACACTCAGATTCTCATACACAGAAGCAGGCAGAATTTGTGTTAACGAACATGTATATGCATATTGATTTCGTTGGAACTTTCCTTCTCAAAGGATATATATAATCGGACATACGAAAGAGTTGTAAAGTAAAATAAATCTAAATAAATCGGAATCACTGAAGTAAATGTATTGTACCGTGGGAGTACATACTATTTTCTTATTAAGTTTCAAAGAGTGCAGAATGTTGGTAAGGGTACAGCAGAGGTCTTAAAGTAGTACATGATTTTGAATTGCTGAGACATGATATTATTTGTAACGTTGGTCAAACTAAAACCTTCTCTTTGATTTCGTTGGTTAATCATCAGTTGCAAAATCGATATGCATTATACATTTCAGTCCAAAGACAAATAGAGCCCTTTACATTTGCCTTTGTTTACTTTGCCTTTATGTATATGTATACTTTAATATAGTGTGTCTTCGTAGTCCTGTATATCAAAAACAATGTGAAGTACAGGGCATGACATCATCAACATCACTCAAAGTGCAGTGATTATTGTAACACAGTCCCTTTCAACATAAACAGTTGCCCCGCTAAAAGGGCCCCTATAATCATATATCGCTTTGCTACCTTACTATACCACAATGGAAATCTTCAAATTGAAATATTATCAGCATACCATAAAACATGAATCAAGATAGTGAGCACAAAAGTAACATACGCTTATCCACGTCGCGTCTTTACTGTCTCGAGTGATTTTTCAATGTGGAGATCTATCGTGACAGTGGAAAGCAAATAAAGGAGAATTATGGCGTTTGATGACTTTAGAATGAAAGTTCCTTTGCATTGAGAAAAGGCTGCTTGATTTGTTCTTTCCAGTGGAGGTCTAGACACTTGAATGCTGCCTGTGTGAAAGTTAGGTTAGCGCTATTTTCGAGAAGCTTCACTTTGGCGAACAGACGTATTAAGTTCAAATAACCTGATTCAAAATAGATCCCAGTTTTGAGACAAGCGATACATATATCAGGCATTGTAATGTGCAGCTCCAACGTTCTTTGAACTCCAGTGATCTTGAAATACCAGTGTTTCGTGACAAGGTCTTCGGGAAACATATCACCATATATGGTCGAGAAAACTCAAACTAAATGCAATGGTTGATCAAAACAAATTAATATATGACGTGATATATGACTCCGATCATTGTTGGTTTCCAGAACTTCTCTGCCTATCTGAGAGGTAAATTGTACTTCCATTCAATAAAACGGACTGGACAAAAAGACCAGGATTCACCTGTGATGAATGTTAGACGTAATTACCACAGGGAGTTTCTATTTCGGGCGTTCCACTTACACATTTGTAAATGAGTTGGAAACTAGTTTGATGTGACCAGCTATCTGTGCACAACCAGAGAGTTTCATAAGTACAATTTACATGTTTTACATAGTCATGTTATTACAGAGCATGCTGGCTTCCCCCAGTATCTTTAATCATTGGCTTCCTGTCCCTGATTTAAGGTCTTTACTGGATGCACTTTCTCCCTCAGTAAACATGTCGACGATGTCTCAGCTGTACCATATATCCACTTGAATGATTATATTTCCTTTTCTAACTGCGTGTGAGGTCTTTCAGTGAGAGTGAGTGAGTGAGTTGGGTATTACGCCGCTTTTTGCAATATTCCAGCAACATCACTGCGGTGGAAAACCAGAAATGGGCTTCACACATTGTGACCATGTGGAGAATCGAACCAGGGTCTTCGGCGTGACGAGTGAACGCTTTAACCACTAGGCTACCCCGCCGCCCTTCTCTTTCAGTGAGAAGGTGTCTTGGCTTTAAACACACGTTGCTACACGGCCTCTTTCAAGATACACTTCTACAAGCGATTCTTTGTCATAGTGGCTATTGATAAACGGCATAAACCTTCATTAAACATTAATCCACAGTATCATGATAACTTTACTGTGATGACGTTAGTACACGTTCAATAATACCCGCTGCCTCCCATTCAAAATAACTTCATTGAATTCGCCACATCGTTTCCAAAGACAATACATGATCACTACTCTAGTAATCCGTCACAGCTGCACATCAACACATTACAAGAATCACAGAAGGCGATACATGAGGTCTTTCAGGTCACTCCTTCAGGTAAGTGTTGTTAAAGCTAAACTGTATCAAACTATGTTAAACCAATACATCCCCATAGCTCTGCTTCCTTGTGGGAATGTAGGCTAGAAGTGTCGTCTTTATCACGATGTCTGGCATAAAGCGAAGACACATATAAAGGATGCTATTTCTTTTTCAGAATCTCTGATCATGTAGAACAACGGAAAAATTCCTAAGTGGTCTTTCTACACATTTGTTTGTTGCAGCTCGAATGAAACTAATGATACCTTTCGGATGCCTTTATCATAGATCTTCAAACGTTCAATGTTGCTCTCAAAAGATGTAAACGTGTTTGACCTAGCTCACGAAGAATGGATATTGTAAATATGGGACGCTACATACAAATGTACCAACAAATGTCAACGCGTTTGTCTCTCTGGCTATCTGTAGTGAGTGAGGGCA